AAGACGCATTAATGGTTCCGTAGATTTCTATCGCAATTGGTCGGAATACAAAGCCGGCTTCGGTGATATAGATGGCGAGTTCTTTATAGGGCTAGAGAAATTACACGCATTGACGACTGCACTACAACCCATGGAATTAATGATACAACTGCAAGATTTCGATGACATTGTGAAATATGCCAAATATGATGGATTTCTAATTGGTAACGAAACGGATAATTACAAATTAATAAAAGTAGGCAGCTATTCTGGCACTGCAGGAGATTCTTTTAGCTATCATCAGGGTTTTAAGTTCACTACCAAAGATCGTGACAATGATATGGCGGATGATAGAAATTGTGCCATTACAAAAATGGGTGCATGGTGGTATCAAAAGTGTCTCAGGAGGTAAATTGTACGAAATTATCCTTTTATCCAGTTGGTATTATTTTTAACCATTTTCCAGCAATTTAAATGGAAAATATTATAATAATCCCCTACCGCCTCTGAATGGACAAGGCATATGTTGGGGTGATTTTCATGGTTATGAATATTCAATGAAATTCGTTCAAATGATGATTCGACCTAAGAGAATATAAACACAAATTCGTAAGTTATATTATATATTTGTTGTTTTTATGAAGATTTGGTGAAAAATATTTATAATGTCCTAAATTCAATAAAAATATGGAATAAAAGTAAGTAAGTTTTTTTGTCGGTGCCGATTACGGTGTACGCGGAAACCTGTCTTTAGTCGCCTTACAAAGGACATGTGACATGAACATGTATTCATACTCACGTAATCCATATTTGCATAAGTACGAATCCATCAACATATCCATTGTAAGGTAACTAAATAAGGTTATGTACAACAAGTTAGAGTGCTATATTCGGCTGAGCCGAATCTTAAATACCCTCCACCAGCAACTTTTGTATTAATACATTTCTAATTAATAAAATATTTGTAGAAATAAGTTTTCTCATGTCATAAATAGAAAAAACCCAAGATTTAAACATCTTAAATCTACTACAATTCCAAGATTTATTGAACATTAGAAACGCCACTTCCTTTTAAATTTTTATAGCGCCCTAAGATATGCTTTAGTTATATCTAGTATTTGCATGTGTGTGAAAGATTTAAGGATTTTCAAAATACATACATATATATATAATTTTGTTCTACACAAATTTATAATGCAAATAGTTAAACACGGTTAAAGCGCTTTTAGGGGCAGGACCTAGTATGAGAAATATGACCAAATATAGACCGATCGTGAAAAATTTTTGAAATAACATTAAGTGCTTTTTGCATTACAAAATAGTATTTATGAACAAAAATAGTATTTATTTATATCATTATTTGGTAATGAGTTATGTGCCTTTAAGTGTTTTTCTGAAAGGGACCTTGTATGGGAGCTATGATCAATTATGAATCGATAGGAAAACAATTTCACAGTAATATTTCTCTGTATATGAGCAATATTTCTGCCAAACTTTATATGGATATCTTAATTTAGTAATGAGTTATGCGCGTTTAAGTGATTTTCGGGAGGGCACCTTGTATGGGAGCTATGACCAATTATGGACCGATCGGAAAAAAATTTCACAGTAATATTTCTATGCATATGGGCAATACTTATACTAAATTTTATATGGATATCTTAATTTAGTAATGAGTTATACGCGTTTAAGTGATTTTCGGGAGGGGGCCTTGTATGGGAGCTATGACCAATTATGGACCGATCGGAAAAAAATTTCATGGTAATATTTCTATGCATGTGGGCAATACTTGTACCAAATTTTATATGGATATCTTAATTTAGTAATGAGTTATGCGCGTTTAAGTGATTTTCGGGAGGGGACCTTGTATGGGAGCTATGACCAATTATGGACCGATCGGAAAAAAATTTCACGGTAATATTTCTATGCATGTGGGCAATACTTATACCAAATTTTATATGGATATCTTAATTTAGTTATGAGTTATGCGCGTTTAAGTGATTTTCGGGAGGGGACCTTGTATGGGAGCTATGACCAATTATGGACCGATCGGAAGAAAATTTCACGGTAATATTTCTATGCATGTGGACAATACTTGTACCAAATTTTATATGGATATCTTAATTTAGTTATGAGTTATGCGCGTTTAAGTGATTTTCGGGAGGGGACCTTGTATGGGAGCTATGAACAATTATAGACCGATCGGAAAAAATTTCACGGTAATATTTCTATGCATGTGGGCAATACTTGTACCAAATTTTATATGGATATCTTAATTTAGTTATGAGTTATGCGCGTTTAAGTGATTTTCGGGAGGGGACCTTGTATGGGAGCTATGACCAATTATGGACCGATCGGAAAAAAAATTTCACGGTAATATTTCTATGCATGTGGGCAATACTTATACCAAATTTTATATGGATATCTTAATTTAGTTATGAGTTATGCGCGTTTAAGTGATTTTCGGGAGGGGACCTTGTATGGGAGCTATGACCAATTATGGACCGATCGGAAGAAAATTTCACGGTAATATTTCTATGCATGTGGACAATACTTGTACCAAATTTTATATGGATATCTTAATTTAGTTATGAGTTATGCGCGTTTAAGTGATTTTCGGGAGGGGACCTTGTATGGGAGCTATGAACAATTATAGACCGATCGGAAAAAATTTCACGGTAATATTTCTATGCATGTGGGCAATACTTGTACCAAATTTTATATGGATATCTTAATTTAGTTATGAGTTATGCGCGTTTAAGTGATTTTCGGGAGGGGACCTTGTATGGGAGCTATGACCAATTATGGACCGATCGGAAAAAAATTTCACGGTAATATTTCTATGCATGTGGGCAATACTTGTACCAAATTTTATATAGATATCTTAATTTAGTAATGAGTTATGCGCGTTTAAGTGATTTTCGGGAGGGGACCTTGTATGGGAGCTATGTCCAATTATGGACCGATCCATAAAATTTTTCCTCTGGAAGAATTCTATTGACATAAGATTTTAATTTGTGAAATTTTGTGAAAATATCGACATTGTAGCGGAAGTTATTAACAAAAAACCCATTTTCCGGGAATTTGTACTTTTGTATGGGAGGTATATGAAATTGTGGACCGATTCTGGCAATTTTCAGCAGGGATCAAGATCTTGTGCAGAAACGAATATATGGTGATTTCCATGAAATTATCTTGCATAGTTTTCGAGAAAATTATATCATAATGTGTAAAAAATGCTTATTTTTTTCCGAGGTTGTTTTAAATTTTGATTCATAACTTTTTCCGGTATGAACCGATTTGCTCATTTTCAATACCAAACTGCTTAGGACAACAATGAATATTTTCGGTGAATTTGGTGTACCTCCTTTGCTTAGTTTTAACGTGAGCGTGTTTTAGGCAGACAGACGGACAGACGGACAGACAGACGGACATAGCTAAATCGACTCAGAATTTGATAAGGACCCAGAATATATATACTTTGTTGGGTCTCAGATGAATATTTCTTGGTGTTACACACGGAATGACAAAGTTATATATACCCTCTATCACCACTTTTGGTGGTGGAGGGTATAAATAAATTGGTTACAAAATTTTGTTTATTAAAGTTATTTTCTGAAAAATACCTTACACAGGGGTTTGATACAAATGTGGCCTGATTTTTGTCATACATTTACGGCAAAATTTTATCATGATTTATGCATAATTAACATAAGTAATTATAAGTTGTTAAATCTTATTCTAATTGTGTTAGAAACAGAATGAACAAATTTACTAAACCTCCATCTTATTTGATTTTTATTTTATGAAAACTTAGTTAAATTGGTAAAGAACTGATACCTTAAAAGTAAATTAAATATTTTTTTTTATTTTAGCACCGATCAAATAATGTCATTCTTCAATTCACAATATATAATAGTCATAGTCCTGCATGCTCGATCATAAAAATCCCTAAAGCACTCGTCACACCTAGTAAAATTTGATTAAGTAGTTAATGATTATTATATTTTAAATCATATAACCGTTTAAATTTATTTAGGTGTTACAAAAATCTTTCCAAAATCTAGTGATGCAAGGTTTAAAAGCACAACGGAATACATATTACTTACAACAATCTATTTTTTTCTGAAAATGCCTGCACGATACAATGTCTAAATCATAGTCAACATGATGGAGCATCAATACTACATAGCAGTTGTCTGTTCAAATTGTCAATAATGTGTTAAAACAAGTAGGAGAAAATTATGTATCTTTGACTACAGTGTGCAACACACAGTACTGTTTGCAATAAACAGATCAGATAGGGCTACTCATGTAAATAACGTGGGTCCACCTAGTTTATAGTCGAATATATAGTCTGTAGTCCAGTCTATAGTCCAGTCTATAGTCTAGTCTATAGTCTAGTCTATAATCAGTCTATAATCTAGTCTATAGTCTAGTCTATAGTCTAGTCTATAGTCTAGTCTATAGTCTAGTCTATAGTCTAGTCTATAGTCTAGTCTATAGTCTAGTCTATAGTCTAGTCTATAGTCTAGTCTATAGTCTAGTCTATAGTCTAGTCTATAGTCTAGTCTATAGTCTAGTCTATAGTCTAGTCTATAGTCTAGTCTATAGTCTAGTCTATAGTCTAGTCTATAGTCTAGTCTATAGTCTAGTCTATAGTCTAGTCTATAGTCTAGTCTATAGTCTAGTCTATAGTCTAGTCTATAGTCTAGTCTATAGTCTAGTCTATAGTCTAGTCTATAGTCTAGTCTATAGTCTAGTCTATAGTCTAGTCTATAGTCTAGTCTATAGTCTAGTCTATAGTCTAGTCTATAGTCTAGTCTATAGTCTAGTCTATAGTCTAGTCTATAGTCTAGTCTATAGTCTAGTCTATAGTCTAGTCTATAGTCTAGTCTATAGTCTAGTCTATAGTCTAGTCTATAGTCTAGTCTATAGTCTAGTCTATAGTCTAGTCTATAGTCTAGTCTATAGTCTAGTCTATAGTCTAGTCTATAGTCTAGTCTATAGTCTAGTCTATAGTCTAGTCTATAGTCTAGTCTATAGTCTAGTCTATAGTCTAGTCTATAGTCTAGTCTATAGTCTAGTCTATAGTCTAGTCTATAGTCTAGTCTATAGTCTAGTCTATAGTCTAGTCTATAGTCTAGTCTATAGTCTAGTCTATAGTCTAGTCTATAGTCTAGTCTATAGTCTAGTCTATAGTGTAGTCTATAGCCTAGTCTATAGTCTAGTCTATATTCTAGTCTATAGTCTAGTCTATAGTCTAGTCTATAGTCTAGTCTATAGTCTAGTCTATAGTCTAGTCTATAGTTTAGTCTATAGTCTAGTCTATAGTCTAGTCTATAGTCTAGTCTATAGTCTAGTCTATAGTCTAGTCTATAGTGTAGTCTATAGCCTAGTCTATAGTCTAGTCTATATTCTAGTCTATAGTCTAGTCTATAGTCTAGTCTATAGTCTAGTCTATAGTCTAGTCTATAGTCTAGTCTATAGTCTAGTCTATAGTCTAGTCTATAGTCTAGTCTATAGTCTAGTCTATAGTCTAGTCTATAGTCTAGTCTATAGTCTAGTCTATAGTCTAATCTATAGTCTAGTCTATAGTCTAGTCTATAGTCTAGTCTATAGTC